TTTTTTGTTTATTTTATTAAAAACAACATCATATTGCCTAAATCGGCCTAATTAATAATGCGTCAAATCGGAACACCAGAGAAACTGTGACCAAAATATTATTTAATATCCCCACCGCCATTACTTTCGGCGGGAACTGTATAAAGAGATTACACCTAAAAAAAATGGAGGAAAAACGTGATTCCGCTTACAATAGGATCCACTTTGACAATCCTATTGTTAGTATTAAAAGTGGTAATAATACAGAACACATAGTTGCCTCAGATCTTTTTTCAATAGATGCGAAACTCTCTCGTGGAACCTTGGCTGTTATACATAATAAAGCGGAACGCTTATATAATAAATTAGTTTCTAAAAAAGATGCTATTGATTGCATACTTGAATCGCAGCCTGTGTTTGCAATAGGGCCCTACTTTCATGAAAACAATACTTTTCCATTTATTGCTTGTTGGGGAATAGGATTAGGGATGGATCAGTCCTGATAAGACCGGTCTTAGACCGGTTAATGAGACTGGTCCGGTTTTCATTTCTCTTATAGAATGGTCCGGTCCATAAGTCAGTCCTTGGATCTGTCCTAATATTTTACTGTAACGATAATGTCCAAAATGGAAATATCGGAAATGGAAAAATAACGAGATTAAGAAGGCACAGGAATTGTTTCGTATGCAATTATTTTATTATACTTTCTTATTTATTAATTTATACAATTATTTTATTAAATTGATCATTTTATATGTATATTTTTTCTTGTATTTCTAAACCGATCCTTGAACGAGCCTTATAAATCAGTTTGTTTCGCAAGAAAACAAATCTTGGACCAGACCGGACCAGACCGGACTAATAATAGGATCTTTGAGCTAATTGACTTTGGAGGATCTTGAGAAATTATTTGATTATGAATTTAAAGTTGTATCTCATCAAATCATAGAACCTGTCCAATGCAGAAGCTGATAGAGGAAGTTCGGGAGAATTGGAGATACTGAGTCAAACAACAAAAAAGATAATAATGGAGATAAAGGTGGTAGCATAACGAAGACGTTATTAGTAATAAAATTGACGAATCCTCTAATCTTCATCAATGTAGATGTTTTTTGATGTGAAACAGATGAATTGATTAGTAATATTTGGGAAGAACTTTCTAAGAAGGATCAGGGTTATCCTCTCGAATCCGTTAAAATTAATATTTCACCAATCAATGATAATCCTGATTTTGAATCTGCTCTAGTTATGCGGGAATATGCAAATCCAAAAGAAAGAAATCGTCTTATTGAACGTTTAGAAAAGATTGAGAAGACCGTTGATGTAGAATTCGGGGCAATCGCAAAATTCGAATTTCAAATGAAATCATCCAATAGTACTAAAGCTTTATTAAACGAATGGGAATTATATACAAGTGGAGGCTCTAATACTAAATTAATTAATTGGATGCAGTGTTGGCATTGGAACTTGTCCAATTCCCAATAATGGACTATTGGACTTTAGACCTAATGGAGATGTCCAGTCCAATTCAAATTCAAATAGACTATGAATATATAATTTTGGTAAATTACAAATACTTCAAATTTACCTTATCCTACTAGAGATCAAAATTCTAAATGGAAACTTCAAGATATTTTTAAGGAAGTCTATAGTCCAATAGTCCAATTTAATGAAATTAGAATGATTAAGTCCAGTAGTCTAATAGTCTAATAGTCTAAAGTCCATTAGTTCAAAAGGCCAACACTGACTGATTGAATAAAAATATACCAATAAGGTCAAGCTAGATTTTGCTTCTGGATTTCATGAATATGAAGGATTCATTATTAGCAAACATTTATGTATTTTCATATTACTTTTATTCAAGTGCTTAAATTTATGGTAAATAGAAATATATTTCATTCATTTGGAAGAGAATCTAAGTTGATTATATACTTTCAGATATCACATGATCTCAAAATAATCTTTAATGATCTTAAAAATTTTAACAAGAAATTTGTAAACTTGGTTCTATTTATTAGGAAGATAGAATAATTACATTTTCTGTAAATAATATGCCCAATAATTTCACTAATATAAGTTCAAGCATTATGGATACAAAACGTTCAGTTATTCATAATAGTATTACATGAAAGAAGATATAGATGATGATGATCAAAAGGATAACATCAATCACTAAGAAGTCATATATGTTTTATATGCCTTTTATGTCATCTATGAGATATAAATTTTTTTTATATAATATATTTTATTTATTTATTTTATTTCATTTATGCTATATATTTATTTATTATATTTATCTCATAAATTATATTTATTTCTTTTATTGCTTTAATAACTTTATGTATTTATTTTATATAAATAAAGAATATTTTCTTTTAGCCTAGCAATGTGTCTGATTCATATTTCTTTAGATAGTTTTATTTTAATTTTTCTAATATACTTATACAATATAGAGCGTCATTGAGGCAGTACTTATTTATTATTATTATTAAATAAATTATCAACTGATCAACACTCTTCTAAAATTAATTATAGAACAAATCTTTTGCTTATCATCTAAAAATATTGCTTCAATTATCACTTATAAATAACCTAAAGAAATGATCATAACAATAATCATAAACCTTTTTAATTTTGTGTTATAAGTAAAAAAATAAAGTATATATTTTATTTATCTTATATAATGATAGTATTTTACAAAATATATTATTCTTTATATATACTTATATATTTGTATTTCTAAAATATATATATAAATTAAAATAAAAAAATTATTTTTTTTATAATTATTTAAATAATAAATTATATTTAAAAATTAAAAAATTAATAATTACTAATTTAAAAAATTTAAAAATATTATTATTAAATTTAACAAATCTAATAAATTTTATTTTATTTTTTTATAATTATTAAATATTAAAATATTATAATTTTTTTATAATATTTTATATCTTATTTTATATTTACAATATTAACAAATAGAATTCTGAATGAGTTAAGTTAACTTACAAATCAGATAAGTTAAGTCAAGTTTAAATTAAGTTAAGTTTATATTTTTTTGATTTAATAATTTATGAATCTTACCAAATTCAAGTCGAGTTAAATATTTAACTTAATTCAATTTAAATAAGCTAACTTTTAAATATAGTACTTGCAATAATTATATAAAAAATTATTAAAAATAAAAAAAGAAGTTAATTAAGATAGCTAAGATAGCTGAAATGCAATTACTAATAAATTAAAAGTTGTTGTACAATAATAATTAAGTATGGTCCAGTACAAAAAGATTGATACACCAATATGTTTATAATAAAACTTTTTTTTTTAAAATTTAATATAAATTATTAAATAATTTTATTTGTAATTTGGGTTTTAAGATATAATTTAATATAAGCTTTATTATAGTTTTAAGTT